AAATAACTTTTTAATTTATTTTTTCGACGACTTTCTTGCTATGGTATTTTGATTCGCGAATTTCAGGACACCCTGTATATATGTGTGTACCTATATATATAAATTTAATTTTATATGTAGACGGAGACACTTGTTTCTAGTGCAATATATGTATGTGCAAGGACATAAAAAATAAATGTTTCTAAACAATTACATTCAAACTATTGAGAATTTTACATCTAAAATTTGTTTTAAACATTTCCTTAAAAAACATGTGTTTTGAATATTTCTTTAAAACAAGTTTTAAAAATGTATGTTTAAATTTATTTCGAGTTTAAAACATGTTTAAAACATTTGTTAAAAACAAATTGTTTAAAACGTAACAACCCTGGACCAATCACAGCCAAGTATGAGAAGAATAATCGACCGTCGTCGGCTGATTTCTTATGGCTTGGCACTTACTGCGTCCATTGTAGAACCAGTCCAACAAGTAAACCTATACCCAAGTGGGGACACGCCAATTTTGACGAGTGTGGAATATGTTGTTTTTTCAACTCAAAATAAGGGACACGTATTTTTTTATACGTGCCCATACGCACTTTTTTTAGGCGGCGAAATACCCGAGAACAGAAAAAATTATAAAACATACACAGGTGGTTCAGAACTACTTCGACGTGTAATATTCACTTTTAATGCCGACTGTAAGATTTGAAGAAGTCCGTTCCGAGCGAGTTTTGCAAACGCATGAAAGTGAGATCGGTATATCTTTTTATTTTATATTGTTCCCTGGCGCGCGAAACATCTGAAAGCCGCGAAACAAAAACAGAAGTGGTTTCAAGAGGGATAGTCATCGTTTCCTTATTAGGCGGTTGATGATGAGCGTAAATAATGCTTGAGCAATTAATAGCGAACGCAGATAACGTAATGATTATGTAAATGTACTTCGTACATGTTTATTATATAAGCGAAATATATGCACAATTACATTCCGTGAAACGATTTAACAACTTTCAGACGCGGTAACCGACGTTTCTCCTGTGATTTTCTTACGTATCTCGCGGTTGGTTATTAAATAGAGTCAAATTAATTTCATTCCAGTTGTTTGAATATAGAAACCTACCGCGCGCGCGCGCCTGTATCGGGAATAATCGGGATTATTACCATTTACGTAAATCAAAATGCAAATGCACAATGCTCGAGAAATTGCCGTAAATATGATTGTATAACGTCTTAAGCTTAGTTCTGCCATAAAACGGGGAGAGAACTGCAAGAGTAATTTACGCGCATGTCAAACAGACACTTATCATCGACCTTAACTTTGCATTCACGATAAAGTCGTTCAACCAATTACCTATTAGTCGAATGTTATTGCGAGAAGTTCTTGTCGCGTCAGTTTAAACAAATTCCTTCATAAATAATCTTTTTGAAAGTAATTGTTTTTTCTTTTTTTAGAAAATAATTTTGCTCAGAGTTGGGTAAACGCACAATTAAACATATTATATTCTGAATGTAAAATTAAGAGATATTTTATTGCATAAATGCTGATTTTAATCGCAATTTATAGGAAGAAAAAAAAAGAGTTTTTAATCTTATTCATCAATTCACGCTCAGTATTCCATCAAATCTATCCGCAGGCATCTGAATCGAGCGTTATCCAATTCAGATTCTAATTGTAATCAGATAGTATCCAACGCCATTGTAATTCTATAATAATAGACACTTCCGGACCACGGATGTATCATATTTAGATATTCCTGCGCCCTCTTCCGCGATACGAACTGGCAAATGCGGACGCATAATTGACAGAAACGATCCGCGGGACCTCGACACCAAGTCGAATTTATGTAAAAGCGATCGCTCCCCGCCTCGCAGTTTTCCTTCTCTTCCGGAATTCGATTTCTGTTCGGACCAAGGCGTCGATGCCATTTCGTAATGAGTGCCGCGTTTTACTTTCACGAAAAAATGCGATGCTTGCGTCGCTTTTCTCCCTCGCACCGTCTCTCTTTCCCGACCGATCCGATTATTAGTAATTATCACTCATCCGTGTTGTTACAGTTACGCAATTAACGTCGAACGTTTCCCGCGTATGCACAACGTCCCGCGCATACTGCATCGCGGTTGATTGTTTAACGTCGCGAATTAAGCGGGCAATTTTTTACCAGTCATTAAGCCTCGGAAATCCGGCGCAGACGTATTTTCCGTTTGTCGAGCGGAATTCAGGTAAGACGCGCATCTCGATGTCTAGAACTTCAGTTCGATTGAGAATTTTTAAAAGACCCGACGCAGATTAAGTCGAATAAAAGGAAATCGAAACGTATAAGAAAAATCAAACCATTGCGTTAAAGGCGAAGCACGCAGTGCGATAATTTTTGCGCGTGTGCAAAAACGCAGGTAGACGTGCGGGAAACATTTTTACACCTTACGAATTAGATTACAAATCGTTTTGTATCCCCTCGCGTTTACACGTGATATCGTGTTTATCTGCGCCGTCTCGTTACATCTTTTTCCGCTAATGAAGTCGACGCGCCTCGCGCCTCCCCCCCCCTTCGCCCCCGTAATTTCCGCGTCCCGGACCTTCGCGACCGCAGGAAAAAAAGGGTGCCGTTGCACTCATACGTGGGAGCGAGCTGCGGGGGCGAGTGCGGCGAGGAGATGAGAACCCCTGTCCTTTCTCTTGCAAGCGCATATCCCCATGGTGGGGACTCCCGCGGCTCGCCGAGGGAAGGGAGTTTCTCGTGGTGCCTGGCTTGCCGCTCACGGGCATACTTTTCACCAGTCGCGAATACTGTCAGTGCGAGCGTCGGACGCGGCGCGATTCGCGATCGCGGTGTCCTCCTTTGACAGGACGCCCGCTTCCCCGCATTGTTTCCCCATAAAGTGTCGTTCGCGACGCGACGCGCCGTTCAACGCCGCTCATCGATCTCGCGCGCGCGCGCGCGCGTGTGTGTGTCCGCGAGGGTCCGTGGGTCCGGGTCGCGAGATCTAAGCGCGAGTGCGGAAGAAACGACCTGGTGATCGGCCCGGGTTGATCTTCCCGAGCGACACGGGGTGGCTCGTCGATGCGCGCTTGATCGATCGGCACCCGCGTGCAGACCGGGATCTGGTTCGCGTCGTGGAAAGGATAAGGGCGCATCCCTCGACTGGGGGGGTCCTGCTCCGCATCGAGAGGGATCGGCAGCCGGCAGCGATGACTCGGTACTCCGCGGCGCGCCGCGCCGCGCCGGTTCGCCAGTGACGGACGGCCGGATGGCGGAAGTCGCGAATGAACGGTCGTG